TCTGCTCAGAGAGGAAAACAGTATGATGTATCTCAACACAGCTGGAGAGCAATCCGTCTCCATCCTGAGTGTTTACGTTTGCTAAGTAGCAATGGGGCTTTCCAATTTATTTATTATGTCAATGTGTCTAGGGCATATAGAACTTTTCTTTTTTAAATATTTCATTACAATACCTGTCTTAGTAATATGTATTTTATATATACTGTTTTATCACTACGAATGAGTTTTTATATGAAAGAAATATTTTGGAAAACTGTTTCTTGTTTGGTTGGTTTTTTATTTTTGGCTATAAAAATATAAAACACCTACTATATCTGAAAAAGTGTATGTTCTTTGGGGGCAAATATAGAAATGAGCATAAAGAAAAAGGTCTATGTGCATTTTGTTGACTTTGCCTCCCTAGTGTGGAAGATGAATAATTAATAATTAAGTGCATAAATATAAATTCAAACAGAGATAATGATGTTTCAGACAGGGATCTTGAGAATACTAGTGCAAGAGAACATTCAGCCAGTGTGGTCAGGGAAGAGCCCTGAGAGGAACAGAGTTTTAAGCAGAGGCCTGAGTGAGAAGAGTTTACTGGTAAAGAAAAGGGAAGATGCTTAGCTTTTTTTTTTTTTTTTTGGTAGAAAAGATGAAGCACACGGTCATTTGTGCTACGGCAGGTAGCACATAGTTGGGAATTGCTTATTATTTGTTCAGTCCCTTCACATATATTTCATGGATAATTTAAGTCATTTACATTTCATTTAATTATTAAGAAATATTTTGCTCCTGCCATTTTGTGACTGATTCTTAGTTTTTCTAATATCTGTCTGCTTCTCGTATAGTCTTCTTTAAAATGCTTGGATTATTTTCTAAGAGGGGGTTTTGATTCTTTGCTTATTATTATTATTAGTCTGTCATTGGTTTTTGCTTTGGCTACCGTGAGACTTAAGAAAAAGAACATATTTGATTAGAGTGAGGCCCTTTGAAATGAGAGTGGTTTAAACACTGATCATAAAACGCTCCAAGAAACAAGAGGATAAGGAAGAGAGAGAGGAGAGAAAAACCTACTACGTTTACATTCATCGGTTCCCCATAGTGTGGGTTTTGATGTCCTGTTGTATACCTTCCTATGTTGCCTACTTCAAATGTTAATGTAGTTATTAATTTTGATTGCTCTGCTTTTTGTGTGTATGCTAGACGTAACTGGTTTATGTACTGTGTTTATGTGTTAGGGTGTTCTTAGTTTGTGTAATTCCTCTTATTAATGAGTTTTAAATGTCCAGTACTTTACTTTCTTGCTGGTTAGCAGCTTTTCTATTTATTTAGAGAATTTGGTTTTCTTTTCTTTTTCTCTTCCTCTTTCTTTCCTTCCTTCCTTCCTTCCTTCCTTCCTTCCTTCCTTCCTTCCTTCCTTCTTTCTTTCTTTCTTTCTTTCTTTCTTTCTTTTTCTTTTTTTGGACATGTCAGGTAGTGACTTATTTTTTCCAGCATTTCTTTGCCTGAGGATATCTTTATCTCTGAACCCCAGTATTGCTAGGTATTATACCCTTTATTGATAGCTTATTTTCTCCTAGCACAGTTGTTTGTAACCTACCAAATGCTGTGACCCTGTAATCTAATTTCGCATGTTGTGGTGACCCCCCCAACCATAAAATTATTTTGTTTCTACTTTAAAACTCTAATTTTGTTACTGTTATGATTGTGATGTAAATATCCGAGATGCAGGATATCTGGTGCAAGCCCTGTGGAGGTTGCTACCCACAGGTTGAGAAACATTGTTTGGTATGTGTGACAGTCTCATCGAATTTCTTTTTTAAGGCCTATGGCATTTCTACTGAAAGCAAGTAATTGTAACATGTGTGTGCATGTATGCATGTGTGTATGTGTGTGCATATATGTCTGTAAGCATTATGTGTATCCCTCTTGCTCTCTCTCTGTCTCTCTGTCTCTCTCTCTGTCTCTCTGTCCCTGTCTCTCTCTGTCTTTCTGTCTCTCTGTCTCTGTCTCTGTCTCTCTGTCTCTCTCTCTCTCTCTGTGTGTGTGTGTTGCTTTCTTAAGAAACTTCTCTTTTTATTGAACCTCTGAGAGTTGATTTTGGGATAGATTTCATTGAACTGAATTATTCATGGTGACTCTTGAAACCAAGTATGGTTTCATTGACTTTCACGTACCAGTGTTTTACTTTCTTTTCCATTTAGGCCTGAGCAGTTTTTGGTTACTGTCTTTCTGAGTGTTCTTTTCTCTCTGTAACAATCTACAGACTCTCTTGAGTGCCACGCCACAAATATCTGCTCTTCTAACACTGTCCCAAAGCTTCTGTGAACTATTTCTTCCTTCTTCTTTCTTCTCCTTTGATAGTCTTTTGTGAACCTGCTAATTATTTAATCTATGAAAACTGCTTATCCATTTTATAGTCTGTGTACCTTATGTTAGTGTTTAAGTTACTACAGTCCTCTTAGTTCTCTCTGGTAAAATATTGAGTTGTTTCTCTATGTTTTCTTGAAGTTTGTGCAACCTCCTTAAAGGCTTTAGAAAATTTCCATGGCTGTGTATAGATTGATTACTACATGGTCAGTTATTGGCACTTCCTTTTGTCCATTATTGTTAGTTGAAGATGTGACTTTGTTTTTGCCTGTCTCAGAAATTTAGCATCTGCTTTTTGGCTGCAGCTAATTTTTCAGTGGATGAGAACTTAAGTTCAGGTTAGCCACAAATCCACACTGGAGCACTCCAATCTCTCAAGGGCTGGGGCAAGCCCAGATACCTCATCCAAAGTTACTGATGTGTGATCAGAAGCCTCAGGATTATTCTGTCTCTTTCTAGACCCCATGTTGAAGGGACTGTTCATAAGCTCTCATGAGCCATCCGTGCTACCATACTATTCTATCCAAAGACCAAACTCATCTGGGGCTCAGATTGATACAACCTAGAATCATAGTTCATGCTACTGCAGTCTGTGGGTGGTGTATTCTCACTTTACAACCCCTTCAGCTTCCCAGAGGTAATGTCCAGAATACAAATGTGTCCCTCTGGGGCCTCAGGTCTCTGTCTAGCAGCAGGACAGGTACAGAAGTAGGCATTGGCCTTGAAGTAGAAAACTAAGATCTGATGTCTAATTACACATAAATAATAGGTAGTCCTATGATATTGACTAACAAGTTTTAAAAACTGAGCACTATTACAGAACATAAATAGTGCACAGTCTCAATGTGCAGCTATTCATTATTTCTTTATAAAAACATTCACTCTGCTTGTTTCTTTTCTGAAAGCATATAGTTACTATTATAGATGATTATTCTCTATTATTTTGTTCATAGTGTTGCTATTTCTGCTCCTAAGCACAACAGTGATGGACAGGGGATATCAGGTCTATGATTACTTTTATTTGAGAGAGGGTGTTTCTCTTAAATAGGATTATTCAAAGGCTTAAAAACCCAATTTAGAAATATTTTTAATTAAAAACCACCTATTTAAAAAAATCATCCTGCTTTGGTATTCAAATCCCTAAATAACAACAAAAAAGTAAAATCTGCAGAGCCTGTGTGTGTGTGTGTGTGTGTGTGTGTGTGTGTGTATGTAGAACAGCACATGTTGTGGAATTGCAACATGTTACACTCAGAGGAGAACACCTGATTTCAGCGAAACAAATGACCCTCTACACCCACTGAAAACATAGACTGGATCCCAAGTTACTTGCAAGCTGGATTTTACGTTATTTATATTCAACAGAATTTGGCTGTGAATCTTCAAAGGCAAATAGGTCATGTTTTCTCTCAAGAAGTGATCTTTTTTTCAAGTGATTGGAAGATGACAGAAGTGATCTCTGCTGATCACATGTATTGGTGAGAAGCTTCTAGAATTCTTGCTCTTGCTACATGGTGTTTATTGAAAATCAGAGTACAGTGCCACCCCATATTCAACAGTGTTTTCTGCTCACAAGAGACTGATGGGAGGAAGAGACATAGGATGTAACTGTGAATGTATGTTCGGTTGGAGTTTGAACCCAGTGGCTTCTACAACGTTTCCCTATGGTAGCTCCTTGTTAGCAGACTGACTGGATCCAGACAAAGAAGAGCTGGTATAGTCTAGGTTCAGACCTAGGCAGCACTCATTTCATTCATAGCCCTCTGCAGACAAATCACAACCATCACAAAATGATGGGCTCAAAACATGTCTACGTCTTTCTGTACTGACACGAGCGTAATGACTCCATCACTCTGACAGATTTATTTTGGCTTTTAGTTTCATCCCTGCTTATCTACAAAAAGTTCTAATAGCGGAGAACTTTAATTTGTTCCCACGCCAGTATTTCTGATGTTCTGTCAAAAAAATACTTATAACCAAGGAAGTATTCCAAAAGCCAAAGGAGTAAGCTGGGAGAGTAGTGTGTACTTCTAAGTAAGACTTTAATAGGTTTCCCTTGGGAGGGTGGAGCTGGGGGGAATCAAAGGCCAGAAATGCTGGGGGTGGTGGGATGGCATAGTGGGTAAGGTGCTTGCCACATAAGCCTGGTGAAACGAGTTCCATCCCAGAGCCAATGGAAAGGTGAGAGAAGAGAACTAATGACACAAAGTTGTTCTCTAACCTTTATACACATGGTTGTGTGTCTGCATGTATGCTTGCACAAGCACACACACACACACACACACACACACACACACACACACATGCTAAGGTACACTCACAGTAATAATAAGCAAATAAAATGGGGCTAGAAATTTTAGCAAATTTATAACTTTACACCATTTGATTTTTTATGAAATATTCCTGTCACTTTCTTGGACCTCCATGTTGTTTGGCATGGTGATGTTCACTGAGCTCATGACTATTGTCCTGTGGTGACTGTTCTAGAGAGCATACCAGGCACCAAGCAGTGTGGTCAGGGCTTCCTCATATATGCTAATTTCTGGAAGTTGATCAAGATATTTCTGTAACATTATTTACTGATTTAGTCAATGTAACTTTTTTCACTTGCGAAATCTATTTTATTTCTATCGTTTCTTCTATTTCAGCTCTTCTTTATGCAACTATTTTTGGAAATGTTACCACAATTTTCCAGCAAATGTATGCCAACACCAACCGTTACCATGAGATGCTGAATAATGTTCGAGATTTCCTGAAACTATATCAGGTCCCGAAAGGCCTTAGTGAACGAGTCATGGATTATATTGTCTCAACATGGTCAATGTCAAAAGGCATCGACACAGAGAAGGTATAGTTGTTTATATTATTATTATTATTAGTTTTAAGTGGGATATTTAGATGTATGTATATTCCCTATTCACAGTTCCCTTGTGAGATTGCTTTATGAATGTTACTATAATTTTTGTAAGTGATATTTCAATCAATCACATTTATTGAGTGCTCAGAAGGTACAGAGCATCCAACCATTAACAATCAGTTAGTACCAGTCATGATATTCAATTGAGAAAATTCAGTTTCTGAAAACAGCTCATTACTCCATTCCCCTGTGATACTCTCCTTACCACTTAGTAGTTTTCTGTTAAACTCTCTGAACACTCTGCTAAGAGAACTAACCTTAGATTTTCCTTTGACTTGCTGTCCTGTTAAAAATTCCAGAGGACTGGAGAAACAGTTGAGAGAGCCTCCTGCCCTTGCTACTGTCTGGAATTATGTTCCTAGCACCTATGTCTGGCAGCTCACAGCTCCCTGTTACTCCTGCTCCAGGGAATCACATACCCTTTTCTGACCTCTGTGGGTATTTACACACACACACACACACACACACACACACACACACACACACACACTCATAACACAGAGATTTTAAGAAGATTGCCCTTATCAGGCATCAACAGGAGGGGAGGCCCTTGGTCCTGTGGAGGCTTGTTGCCCCAGAAAAGGAGGATGCTACAGGGGTGAGGCAGGAGTTGGGTGAGCAGGGGAGCACTCTCTCAGAGGAAAAGTGGAGGGGCTATGGGATGTAGGTTTGCAGAGAGGGGACTGGGAAGGGGTAACAACATTTGAAATGTAAATAAATAAAATAACCAATTTTGGGTCTGGAGAGGTGGCTCAGTGGTTAAGAGCACTGATTGCTCTTCCAAAGGTCCTGAGTTCAATTCCCAGCACTCACATGGTGGCTCACAACCATCTGTAGTAGGATCTGATGCCCTCTTCTGGTGTGTCTGAAGACAGCTACAGTTTACTTGTCATATAGCTAAAATAAATAAATGAAATCTTTAAAAAATAACCAATTAAAAAAATAAAAGTATACTTAAAAAAAGAATGAAACTTCCTGTTACAAGTGAAAAGTTTATATTATCCTCTATTGTATTGTCTTCTTAACTTTTCCCTATCACATGCATAGGTAATTTTTAATGTTCCCTTGATTTTTTCATACAAGTAATAGAGACATACCTCTTATCCAGTTATTCTCATATCTCATTTCTTGTTGTTGTTATTCTTTAATGGGAACTGCTTTCCCTCCACCTATCTTATCCTTGGGCAAAGAAGAACCTGAAGTTCTCCATCAAAAGCAAATTAAAATCTCCTTACTATCCTATACCACTCGATTCACCTAAAATGTCAAGGATGTCAGCTAGAGCTGGCACACAGGGAGTGAAAGCCAGTCCTGAGTTACTCCACTTGATAAGCATCAGTAATGACTGGTTTTTTATAGATCACCAACTTCTGACACCTGACAGTCAAATTGCAAGATACCTTCCTTGCCTTACCCATTTCTAGGTAGTATGTGTTTTCAACATGTGAGTGCATGTGTGCTTGATTGAGTGTGTGTGTGTGTGTGTAAGGACTACTCTATAAGTGAGGAAAGCACAAATGATCAAAGTAGATGTTTAGATAGTGGAAGTTCAACAGATAACAAGTGAGTTTCAGGCCAGAGCAGGGTTTGCGAGGCCCAGGTAATTGAGGGCAAGTGTGAAGAATGACGATAAAGTGTAAGGGGAGATGTGTGTGAGGCTCAAGGTAGCTGCATGGAGGAATAGTGAAAGACATTCTCCTTCTTTGGTATTAACAACCTGCAGTATAAGTCTCCTAGTCAAATGACCACAGAAGAAAAATCAGTGAGCACATATTTCTTTGTAACTTGATTAATATTCACTGATATGTGGTTAGTGGGAAAACATGCACAGATTCTTTGTCACAGTGACAAAAAGCAAAATTACAAATGCTCTTAGGGATGTTGAAGGAAGGAAACATTTATATACTATTGGAATGGAAATTAGTATGATGGCGATTGAGCACAGGATATTCTCTTAAAAACCTAAAACCAGATCTACCACAGGATCTATCTGTCCAACTTCTGGGTAACTATGAAATAAAAGTAGACCATCATACGAACTCCTGTCTGCACTCCTGTGCTTACTGTTGCACTAGTCACAACAGTCAAGATAAGTAAACAAAAAACTATGAAATCCTGTCGTGTTTAACAAAACAGGGGGGACCTGAGAACATTATGTTAAATGGAATTAGAACTGGAAGGACCCAGAATGAGATGAACTCAGGTTGTCTCCTAGTCAGAGAACTCAAAAGGACAACTTGCAAGTAGATGGTAGTTGTCAGAGGAGGGGAAGGGAGGGGAGCAGAGGGGTAAGTCAAAAGGAGGCTGGGTAAAGGTACTGAGTTACACTTAGAGTTGTGTTTGAGAACCAAGAAAAGCAGATTTGAGTTGACGTGACAAATATGAAAGCGTCCCTGTGCATGTGTGAAACATGCCATGACATTGATTGTTTTCAGCCTACTATGGAAATCCCCACACAACGTCAGATGATGTTAGCTTGGGTGACACTGTACATGATGATAAGAAGACACAAGCCAGATTCTGGATGTGCAGAGGGGATGTGGAAATTCCTGATAACTACATCCTCAGTGAGACCATATTTTTTTATTGGATATTTTATTTACATTTCGGATATTATTCCCTTTCCCCATTCCCCTCCTCCAGAAACTCCCTATCCCATCCCCCCTCCTCCTACTTCTATGAGGATATGCCCCCACCCACCATCCAACTCCCACCTCCCTGCCCTCTAATTCCACACTAGGGCATCCAGCCTTCACAGGACCAAGGATCTCCTCTCCCATCTATGCCCTACAAGGCCATCCTCCCCTCTGTATACAGCTGGAGCCATGGGTCCCTCCCTATGTGCTCCCAGGCTGGTGGATTAGACTCTGGGAGCTCTGGTTGGTTGGTATTGTTGCTTTCCCCATGGGGCTGCAAACCCCTTCAGCTCCTTCAGTCCTCTCTCTAAGGCCTGTATTTTTGTGCTCTAAACCCATCACCTGGCTTGTGAACTACTTTTAACTCCAAATGTGCCACTGTTCTGTCCTCTCCAATGAAGCTTCTCTCCCTCCTCCCTCTGCTCTCCCTCCTGCTTCTTATATGTTCATAGGCATCTCTTTCTTTAGGTTAGAGAAGTTTTCTATAATTTTGTTGAAGATAATTACTGGCCTTTTAAGTTAGGAATCTTCACTCTTATCTATAGCTATTATCCTTAGGTTTGGTCTTCTCATTGTGTCCTGGATTTCCTGGATGTTTTGGGTTAGGCTTTTTTTAAATTTTATTTTATATTTTCTTTGTCAGTTGTATCAATGTTTTCCATGGTATCTTCTGCACATGAGATTCTCTCTTCTATCTCTTGTATTCTGTTGGTGATGACTGTGACTCCTGATCTCTTTCCTAGGTATTCTATCTCCAGGATAGTCTCCCTTTGAGATATCTTTATTGTTTCTACTTCCATTTTTATGTCCTGGATGGTTTTGTTTTATTCCTTCACCTGTTTGATTGTGTTTTCTTGCAATTCTTTAAGGGATTTTTGTTTTTTCTCTTTAAGGGCTTCTATCTGCTTACCTGTGTTCTCCTATATTTCTTTAAGGGAGTTATTTATGCCCTTCTTAAAGTCCTCTATCATCATCGTGAGAAGTGATTTTAAATCTGAATCTTGCTTTTCCGGTGTGATAGGGTGTCCAGGACTTGCTATGGTGGGAGAACTGGGTTCTTATGATGCCAGGTAACCTTGGTTTCTGTTGCTTACGTTCTTGTGCTTGCCTTTCACCATCTGGTTATCTCTAGTGCTACCTGCACTCACTGTCTCTGACTGGAGCCTGTTTTTCCTGTTATCTTGCTTGTGTGAGAACTCCTCAGAGTCCAGCTGTCTCTGTGCTCCTGTGATCCTGAGCTCCTGGGTTGAAGAGCTCCTGGGACTCAGGCTGCCTCTAGGATCCTGAAATCCTATGATTCTGGGTATGTTAGAGCTCCTGGGAGCCCAGCTGCCTCTGGGTGTTGTGGGATCAGGTGCAGAGCTCTGATCCTGGGCATGTTAGAGCTCCTGGGAGTCTAGCTTCCTCAACTGCTCTGAGTGCAGTGGATTCTCTGCTGCTCCAAGTATATTGAGTCCTCTAGCATGGGTCAGGATATGGTGTCTTAACAGGAGCAGACCAGCTAGGAGCCGGCTCCAGCAACAAGGACCAAGCAGAGGGGGCTCAAGGGGAGTGGTATTCCAGAAGGTGGGGTTTTGGTGGGTGATGGGTTCTGAGGTCCCAGAGCTCCCAGCTGCAGTTCTGGGGCTCTGGGTTGTGGGGGAGGGTTCTTACTCACTGCTCTGAGTGCAGAGGTTCCTCTAGGACGGGTCAGGGTACGGTGTCTTCACTGGAGCAGACCAGCTAGAAGTCTGCCCCAGCAACAGTGACCAAGCAAGGGGAATGAAACCAGGCAGGATGGCCTTGTCGGGCAAGGTGGGAGAGGAGATCCTTGGTTCCATGAAGGCTGGATGCTGAGTGTGGGGGAATTTGAGGGTGGGGTGGTGGGAGTAGGGGGTAAGGTAGGGGCACATCCTCATAGAAGCAGGAAGAGGGGGGTATGGGAGAAGGGGTTCCTGGGTGAGGGGTAAGGTGATAACATCTGAAATGTAAATAAAATATCAAATAAAAAAAGGAAAAAAATGCTTCTTAGACTCATGCCATATGCTACCAAACAAAAAGAAAACAAAAAATTATATCTACTTCTGTGATGTAATAAAGCATCTAATAACAGAACAGAAGGCTCACAAGCCTGTTAATCATCTTGTTAGCTAATAAACAGTAACTATAACACATAACATTAAAATGCAGGTAAAATAAAAAATAACATTTAAAATACAAAGGCAATGCTTTAAGATGTTGACAAAAAGCAAGTGGAACTATGCCTCAGAGTTTAGGTGCAGTCACAGCTTGTGCAAAGAGCCCCCCCATAGCAGT